CCGCGGTTGGTGATTTGACTCGCCGCACTACCTCGGCGCGCACGCGGGAAGCACGTCAGCTGTGCAGGGAGGACGTGCAGACACCAGTCTGGTCCGTGGAGACAACATTGGCCGGAAGTGCTCACCATGCAGGTGCCAGGTGACACACCGGACACTTGATTAGGGACAGACGGTGTGCGCCTGGTGGTGCCTTCAGATACTTTTTTCTCTCAACGCGCTCGTAACTCAAACCACTCAAATCTTCTTACGCCGCTGAAATGAATGGAAATGTCAGAAATCCATTCCAAAACACAACAACCCCCAAACACAATAAAAACATACCCGTACAACTATAAAATATCGTACTTTATCAAAGCATGCCGTAATTTATAGTTCAATAGAATCTAACGAATTACAGTAAACCGTTTTTTTTTTTTACTTCGGTTCTTAGGACGCTTTGGGGCTCCCTCTGGTGTTTGCGCATACGAATATACAGTGGACTCGGGGAAAGCATAAAAAATGATTAACGAGTGTTCTTATACAGTACTTGGAGTATTCTGAAGCATTTTATTAAGACACGTGGGAACCGCTTTACAAATTGAAGAGAAAATACATAATTGTTTTAAAAAACGATCATAGATCCTCTTTAACATGAGTTAATTTGCTCCTTTATTGCGATTTGTAAGCTGAAAAGGCAATACTGTCCTGTATTGTTTGATATTATGAGGAGGCAGATTTACAACAGCAGAGGGCGTCGTTTCCTTGCGTCAACTGGATCCGTCATTTGGTACACGGGGGGCCAATTCAAGAGCTGTCACAAATTGTGCATTTGGGAAGCGTTTAGACTCGCGAGGGAGTATATAACAAAAACAAACGTTGGGATTTGCCTTCCCCGTCAATCTTCAAGTTTAAAAATGTCTTTCGCGTAAAGTGGTTGCTATGTTTATTTATTCATTTTTTTGGCTTTGTGTTCCATGTTGCCACATGTTTGTCGACCGGCTACACGCAATTCTTGTTTTGTGTGCGTGTTCTGCTCCTCCGACTGATTCGCTCGCTCTGACTTGTAGTCAGAAAAATAGTCTGCGCGCAGGCACGGCAGGGGCCCTCCCGCCTCATCATCCCGGGAAGCACACGCTGGGGCCGGTAGGAGGAAAGCAGCGTACCGCACAGAGCGAGGGAGGAGCTCCCGGGATCCGTCTACTTGCTGGTCGACGGATTGGTAGCACATTTCATTCGCGCCGTGTTCGCGTCGGAGCTTCTTCAAGTGTGACTACGTGACTTTTATCTTTTGAAATTGACGGCAACGCGGGGTTTTCTTGACTTTTTTATCCTCTTTCCTTTTTTTGGGGAGGAACGAACGCCATGATTGTACCTTTCCCGCCCTGCAGGAGCAAGCGAGGGCGTGGCCAGATGGAGAGTGGATTGATTGATTCTCCCAGGGCAGATTAAGTTGCAAAAACGAAGCTTCGATCGACTTAGTTGTGGAGCAATTTGAATTGACTTACATGTGGCATTTATTTGGCGAAACACCCTTTTATTTGCGTTATTTCATTTTGTTATTTTATCAATGATTTGTGTATTTTTGATGATCTAGTAAATCGCCACGCGCCACTTGACACGCATGTCATTTAAATAAACAGTGACTATCAGTGTAGACAGCAACAGCACCGGTCAATACATGGCAGCAATTTTAATATTATTTTTTTTTTTGTCATTGAACATTGAGAACTTAACATTTTGCAATTTTTGATACTATGTTGATACTAATGACCGACGAGAAGAGACAAGACAGTAAAATATTTCATGAATTCCTTTTTTTTTTTTTGCATTGATGTTTTGATTGTTTGCCTTTGTAACCACTAGAGGACAGTGTTGTCTTTCCCAATGGCAGCTTGTCGCTTTTGCGCACACGCATGCTCGCACACGCGTGTACATGCACGCGCACGTGCGCGCGCGTGCTAAGACACTCACACACACAGAAAATTGGTCATTATGATGTTTTGATTGTTTGCCTTTGTAACCACTAGAGGACAGTGTTGTCTTTCCCAATGGCAGCTTGTCGCTTTTGCGCACACGCATGCTCGCACACGCGTGTATATGCACGCTCACGTGCGCGCGCGCGAAGACACTCACACACACAGAAAATTGGTCATTTGGCTGCTGGAAGACCAAGATGAATGAGTCGTCCTTCCTGTTATCTTTTTTGCTTCTCATCTGGTTTCGCCACAATTCCCTCCTCCCCCTCTCAGCTTGTGACCCCTCCCTTCATCCTCCCTCCTCATCCTCCAGTCAACGTCAATTAATTGCCAGAGTGAAGTAGGCAGCGTTGACCTTTTCCTTTTTTTTTTTTTTCCTTGCTTAGTCGCCACCTCTCGTACCTTGGCTGAGTCATCACTTTGTCCTTCTTTAAATTTCTCTTCATTATGCTTTGCTTCTCTTAAAGCAGCCACGTTATGGAAAATGGATTTTTTAATGTGTTGTTTACAAATACTGTAGTTGTGTGTCTGAAGTTCCTCCCCAGCCGTTAAGTGGGGAATTTAACAACCGACTCAATCTGCCATTTCATCTTCAAATGGCGCAAAATGTGGGCATGACTTTCTTCTTTTTAAAGTTGGAGTCAAGGAGTGGATGTTTGCAATTCCCAGAGCAGCATTTGTTTTCCACACTAGGAGAGCTTTTCTAAATTGACAAAGTGGAAGGTCATGTTTTTTTAATTGTCGTGTTTTTTTTTTTTTGAATGAAATTAAACATTTTGATTGGTTTTCACCACTCCATTCCCACCTGCGAATTCAATGGCAAAAACATGCCTTTTCAAAGCTACTTCCTTTGTCATCTGCAGGAAAGAAGAGTGAGCACAGTTGCCTCGTACTTTGCGTCATTCCGCATCTTTGTGCTGGCCTGCTTAGCTGTGAAAAAGCTGAAGAGAAACAAAAAAACCCCAAAACTTCAATTGATCTTCATCAGTGGGAACATCAGTGTTATGCTCCTCGTCAATAATTTTGCAAAGCACAGCACACAGCAGACCTCTTTTAAGAAAATGAGTGTTTTAAAAATGACACCCTTGCCACTTGCGGAAAGAAGGTTGGGCATGTCATTTTTTTAACCTTCTTCGGCTGCAAAAAAACAAAAGCAACATATGTGGTTCACAATCTGTGTTGCTCGTGCGATGTCTTGCAGTGTTGTGTCACTTTGCTGATACCTTCATAAACAAAAAAAATCTTCATTTTGAGAAAATAGGATACAATGAAGTGACAATAATAACAAGTGGATAAAAAAATGAGGTCATTCCAATTTTTAAGGGTCTGAGCGAGTCCCCAAGCACTTTTTGCTGACACGTCGGGTCTGGCGTGAGCTCACGTTTGTCTCTGTTAATGACGACGACACAGCTGGTGTCCGACCGCCAGCCAGCGGGTCGCATGGCCGCCCGCCACCTCTGACTGGGTTCACGTTGAGAGTGTGTGGTGATCAGAGTGCATGCCCGCGTGCGTATGCTGCTGAAGAACAGTTGGCATGGGGCTTGCTGGACCACCAGCACCACCAAAGGAGGAACTGCATCCAGACAGACACCATTAGTAACATGGCACCGTGGCCCCCCCCCCCAACATATATGAACTCTCTCACGTGCGTATGCGTGTGTGCGTGTAAGGCGATACTGCGTGAAAGCGGCCTGTCGAGGCCGCCACACTCAGACGTGTTGCTGAAACCGTGAGATTTTCACACAGAACCCAACAAAAGATGGACATTTGCTGTACTTGCGTGCTCTTTGACCCACTCACAGCCTGGCACGGTTTGAAAATTAAGACAAACTCAGCATCCGGTATGCTTGGTGTCAAACTTTTACTGAAAAAAATGGTATGTTGAATCTACTTAATTTTATTTCGTCAAATGGTTGCACAAAATAAAATCATCTGGCTCCAGGTAGATTTTTTTTTGTTTGTTTTAAGTCGACGATACATCTACTTTTGCCTCAACATCACACGCACCCTCAGCCACTTTAGCGCAGTTTCTTCAAGAAATCTCCATTTTACTCATCTGTACCTTTCACGCTGAACCCAGCGAAGCTGGAGATTGCTGCAATTGCCACACAATATCCTGCGATCTGATAATTAGATGGCGTCAGGATCTGGTGTGATGGCGACAATACCATTCGCCATGGAGTGTCTGGCAAGCCCCTTACACACAAGTGTGATTGTGTCCCTTGTTGGTGGCGAAAGGTGTTGAGATGTGCAAATCCAAGCGCTAATGAATAAATGATAATATTCATAAAGAAAGGGGGAGCGATAATGTGGCACCACGGGGAGCATAAAACGGAGCAAAGAAAAAAAATCAAATGAAAAAAAAGTCGCTGGGTCGCAACTTCATTAAGACGACACGAAAGCCTTATTGCTTTTTCTTTACCTTTTCATGGCGAGTGTACTTTGCTCGTTGTTATTGTTGTCTTTATTCTCCCTCCCCAAGTC